AAAAACGATTTCTTCTATTATTTCTCTTGGACACTGATCTGATTGGTATAGCTCCTTAAAGATCCGTCACAACCAAGAAGTATTTTATTCAACACAGGAAAACCTCTTTTCCCCTCAAACTCATGTTTAAAATGTTAGTCTGTTCAGTCATTGGCCCTTACATGTAGCCAGAGAGACCTCTAAAAGCATCCAGACATTTATTTTCATTTTACCAATGAAGAAGGTGAAGGGCACAGTCTTCAGACTCCCAGTTAGCCTTCCTTTCTGTTTACCACCCCGTCAGAAAGTGAAGTTCATGTTTGCAGAATGCCATGATTGGCATAGTCCACATCATAAATAATTTGTAACCACAGTATTATTATTGTGAAAAAAATTCATTGAAAGCATCAAAATTTACAGTAAAAAATGAGACGTCATGTGTGCCTATGCATGGAGGTGTTCTGAAAGGCTTTCTTTGATTACTGTGTAAATGGTAAATAGAAATCCATATAGTTTCAAGTCTGATTCTACATCTGCTAATTGGATTTTGCTGTATGGATTTAGTAAGCCAATATTCATGTTCTCAAGTAAACATCTCTCAGAATGCATGCATATGACAAAGCTGATTTTTCCTTTAGTCGCTGGAATCAACACCTAAGTCAGAGGTAGGCCAAGTTGACTTTGCAAAAGTAATCTAGGTTATAATGAAAGGACTTTATACTTATTTTAGTATCAGCCTTAGAACTAATGGAAAGAAAACAGAAATGTAGAATCCTAAAGGTCTTCCAAGAGCAGAAATTCATCTCTTTTCCTGACAGGAATACCTACGTTATTCTGTACCGTTCTGTTTTACGTCTAATTCCTAGCTGACAAGTGTCCTTTTTTCATGCTTATTCATTCGTCACCCTTGTGTTCTCTCTGCCTGCAAGGCATCCGGCCTGCCTTCTATCACATCTCTACAAATGATAAAGGATATGCTTAAAATGTTATTACCCACCCTCCCTTGCAGAGTAACATGGAGACCTACTGAAATTAGCAGCTGCTTTGCTGGACAGCCACAATATATTCTATGCTCATTACCCAACCTGAAAGCTAGAAAAGAGGTTTTATGACAGAAACTGAAAGGATTTTTCAGGAAGAAGTATTGCCTCATGGGGGGTTAAATATGAGATCATTTTAGAAATTACATAAAATTTATATGGAGTTTAAAGCCAAACCACTAAAGTGAAATAATTATCAGGCATTCAATGATGGTTCAGTTCAACCTGTCCCTCCAAGTGTGTGCCTCTGACGTGTGGTCACCATTCTCAGTTAGGAAACAAGGATTCTCACAAGATGTGCCTTCATATGGCAGGAATTTGAAACCCATGCCAAAAACTACACTATATTCTAAAAATTATAGCATGCTGCATTCAGACCCATCGCCCCTTAATGGTGCCGCTGACTTCCGTCACCGTAAAATTTGGCAAAAGAGCAGTAGGTTCCCGTGATGGTCATATTCCCAATTCCTGTGCACCCCTCAACACAGCTGGGCTTCCACTTGCCCTTCGTGCCTAAATGACCCAAACCAGTCCCTTCTTTGCCCCTGTGAGTCTTTCCCTGGATTTGTCCTGTTGGCCTCCCAACTTCTTAAAACTTTACTCTTCTCTTAGCTCCTCTGACACATGTCTGTTTGGTTCCTCTCTTGCCTCTTGGTTCATGCCATGTCATTTTGCTGGCAGCCTTTTCCCTCGAATGTTGGTGCCCTGCTTGTTGAACACAGTCTTTCCCCTGGTGATATAATCTAATCTATTTCCTGTGCTTCAGCCATCTCCTAGACAACGAAGCACGAATCTCCTATGAGGACTTTTTTTTTTTTTTAAGTTCTAGGCCAGTGGTTCTCAACTTTGGGTGGATTTTGCCTACAGGGGACATTAGGCATTGTCTGGTTGTATTTATTTTGCCCTGGCTCGGAGGGGTGCTTCTGGTTTTTAGTGGGTGGAGTCCAAGGATGCTGCTAAGTATTTTGCTGTGCACTGGACAACCTCACAACAGAGAATTCTCCAGTCCCAAATATCAGTAGTACTGTGGTTGAGAAATCATGATCTGGATTTATTGCACTTTCCATCTGAGTATCTTACAGACACAGCAAACTGAACCTATACCAAATACATTGCTGTTTTTCCTTTCACTTTCCTGCCTAATTCGGTACCATTTCATCTAGCGATGCTACCATCTTAACAACAGCAATAGAATTGCTAAGAATATACTATTATTCTTGCCTCCTGGCACTTTCCAAATACCTGAGTCTTCCCGAATGTATGATCTTTTTATTTCTAGAATCTGCCTTCTCCTCTTCCTCCTATGGCTTCCCCCTCCTCACTATGACTAGCTGAGTTCAGGACCCCGTCATCCCTCCTGATCTACTCAGATGGGTCCCTAACTACCTTCTGTCTCTTTACCACCACCTCAATCCATCTATCACAATGAGGGCAATGTGACATCTGATCTCCTTCATTTGCTTAAAAGCTTTTGAGGGTTTGCCATTCCTCAGCATGGCAGAAAGGCGCTTCACAACTAGACCTCAGCTTACCTTTCTAGTCTTGGGTCTTTATCTTACACATCATCTTAAGTACCTAATCAAGTGTCAACCAAAGCATATAATTAAAAATATTAAAAGAATTTGTTTTAGCTATTTGGATACATATGTGCCTCACTCTTATCCTTAGCCCTCATTTTGTGATATGCCAATTAATTTAACCAAGAGTGAGTCAGTGGGTTCTTTAATTTGAGAACTAATTCCAATCATTATTTCTTCATCCTACCCTACATCAGATGGGAGTTTTTCAGTATGATTTTTTTTTTTTTTACAAACAAGGTATATGTTGTCAAGGACATTTTATCCTGTAAAAGTTGTTCATTGTTGCTATTCTTTTTATTAGTATCTGGCGTTTTGCCAAAGTTTTATCTTAATGCAGATCCAAAACAAAGAGAAACTGCTATAGTGTATCGTGCTGCCAAAGTGAGCACAAAGAGAAGCTACCATGTTAGAAGTGACACAGAGGAGAGAAGTTTTAAATGTTTGTGTTGGAAGGACACAGATGGACCAAAAGATGTGTGAAAGGGATGTGTGTAAGAGCAGAATATGTACAAACCGAGGCTCAGCATGTTCTAATATAGCATGGATTATTTTGCTGTAAGGCTTTGAGTAATCTGATAGATATGTTTCTTATATGTAAAATAAGGACATGGTTTCGGCAACTTGTAAGTTCTAATAATTCTGTGGATTTTAAGTGGTTTCGTTCTGCAATATACTCAATTTCTTGATAATCGAATTACAAGAGGCCTTCTGCCAGAAATTCTGTCACCATTTGGAGAGCCCCTTGTCTTACCTCAAATCGCACAGATCCATAATTTTCTCACAGCCCCTAAGCTCTTGAAAGTTTTCTTATGCCAAGAAATTCAATAAATGGCAAGTATGTAACAGTGGATTTTTCTCTCTATCCATTCTTCCAGATGGTACTTTCTGATAGCTCCTTGAAAGGCATTAAGGATATGACCTCCAGAGTCTTTGGGTTTCCGCCCATAGTTCAGTAGGCTAAAATGGTACTTTTCAATTCTTAAGCCTTTATCAGGGCCATGGCATGAAAGGATAGAAGCATTAATTTATAATCAAAATCAACGGATAAAATTCCAATAACTTTTCATTGGAAGAAGCTGAAACTGTACATGTATGAAATAAAGTATTTGGCATGTTTTTGGTTTGGGGTTTTTTGTTGTTGTTGTTAATGTTGCTTCAGAACTCTATGGTTGGATCATTTATTTTTTAATTTTGGTGTTTAAAATTACAAACTGATTTCTAATATGTTTGTGTCCACTTATAACAATTTTTAAAAGTCTACTGCATATATCTTAGCAACTATAACTATATAAATATGTAATTAGGCAGTTGGTATATTTGAGCAAAAATGACCATTTAATCTTCTAATTGAAGAATGGCTACATAATTACATATTGAGGTATTTCTAGACTCATCCTCCTAGCTCCTCTTTTTCTTGCTTCCTGTTTGAAACACCTCAAGAAGTTACATTCATTCTCTCAGGACTCCAGCATTCTATTTCCCACTCTGAAACATAAACTTCCTCTTGAGTTATTGATCAAAAGATGTCAGAGTTATTACAACTTTAATAATACCTATTATGAAGAAAGAGAAAAATATTTATGTATATAACAGACTCTGTGTAAGTATCATGATAATGGAGCTCTTTGGATGAAAAAATGTGATCACCATAATTGATGATCAAGTAATACTAAGGAGGGCGCCTGGGTGGCTCAGTTGGTTAAGCGACTGCCTTCGGCTCAGGTCATGATCCTGGAGTCCCAGGATAGAGTCCCGCATCGGGCTACCTGCTCAGCAGGGAGTCTGTTTCTCCCTCTCCCGCTCCCCCCTCTTGTGCTCTTTCTCTCTCTCACTCTCTCTCTCAAATAAATAAATAAAATCTTTAAAAAAAAATAAAAATAAAAATAAAAAGTAATACTAAGGAAATGCAATTAATCATTTTCACTGATTGTGTAAATGAGGTTCTCCAAAGCATTCCATTGAAGATTAAAGTAGAAGCAGTTAATAGCCTCTGAATTTCATGTTTTCCACCACACAGAATTTAATAGCCCAGATTATGGTACAGTACTAACAAAGTGTGGTTAAAAAAAATAAAAAGAGGGGCGCCTATATGGCTCAGTCATTAAGCGTCTGCCTTCGGCTCAGGTCATGATCTTGGGGTCCTGGGATTGAGCCCCACATCCAGCTCCCTGCTAGGCAGGAAGCCAGCTTCTCCCTCCCCTGCTCCCCCTGCTTGTGTTCCCTCTCTCGCTGTGTCTCTCTCTGTCAAATAAATAAAAAATCTTTAAAAAAATATAAAATAAAAAACAAAAATAAAAAGATACATAAAATACTAAACTGGGATATTTTTATATCATTTTCCATAAATAAATAAATGTTAATTATTAGTTTTGTCATGTATTTTATTACCTGTGCTTTCCAGATCTACGGAAGACATTTGAGCAGGAACCCCTGGGAAAGGAAGTATCCTTGGAACAGGAAGTCTTGCTCCAGTGTCGACCACCTGAAGGGATCCCAGTGGCTGAGGTGAGTAACAAAAATTCTTTGCATTTAGCAATTGGCACTTAGTTATTCTAACAGAGGGCTAATCCATGGCTAATGGGGCAGTGAATTAGGGTATGGCATGATGAATGGTTGGGAATGGAGTCCTAACTGCCTGCTGCTGGCAAAACAGATTGATTGGGGACTGATTAATGACATGGGAGTCAATTAGAATGCCCCACTGGACAAAGCCACAGGCAGCTTGGTTCAATTTTGTCATTCTCTTTCAAGAAATCAGAAACACTGCTTTATTGTATCTGGCACTTTTCATATAGAGAGGTGGTAAGACAATAATGTACTATCAATTTTATTATTGTTCTTGAGCATATGCAACAAATGTAAAAAGGGTGTGTGTGTGTGTTTGTATGAGCCTGTGCACCCCACATAGACATTTCCTGTTCCATGATGTAATCTAAAGGCCATATCTACACACCATGAATAGAAACATGCTTGAGAAATAACAAGTGTCAATTAGTTTCCTACCATGAACTTTCTATCAAGCTCTTCATTTTCATTTTTTGCTTTTGCTAAAACAAAGCCTGTTGATTGTTAATGAAGCATGACGAATCAGATACATACCATGTTTTTCATTAGCACCAAACCATACATTTGTCCTTTGCAAATGCCTGTCTATGGGGGATAGGCCTACATGACCACAAGAGAATACCATGCCCTCCTTGAGCCATACACCATCATAAAGCATACTTGTTAGGAAAATCGTCTAATACTGTGTCTTTCATTTGTTAACAAATAACTCTAAATTCTCAAAAATGCTACCTTTTATGATTTTTAGGAGACATCCTAATAGGGCATCAGACATTATTGCCCTAGCTAATCCGGTGTTCTGTGTGCTCAGAAACACTTCAATTTGACAAGTGACATACATCGCTGCCAACTTGTTGGTCCTTGTTAACCTCTAAACTATATTCAGTCCTTTGATATTTTTACTCTTTATTGCATGTATGGAAAGAGGCGTTTTTTAGTTGCCGCCATTTGGGTCTGCATATGGACCCGCTGGATTTGTGTGTGTGTGTGTGTGTGTGTGTAAAAATAAGCCCTGAATTCTCCCTATCTATGAAATTGCAAAAAAACAATTATTGACACATCATCGTTCAAAAAAGTTTTGTAGCTGTACACTTACTATTAGATTTGTCACAGTTTTTCAGTCTTTTGAAGGTTGAAGCAAAGGTGGGAGTCAGCTCCGTTAGCCGGTCTCACAATAACAAGATTAAACATCTAATTGCTCTTTCCAAATTATTATTAATAATAAATGAATTAGAAATTTAGGCAAGGCTCTTAGAAAACAACTGCGTTTTTTTCTCTCACAGCCATTTATATCTCTCCATGTGCCAATGCGAAGCCTCAAAGTAGCACTCTTAATGAAGCTTCTTGTTTTACTCTGAAAGAAGAGAACTATTGTTTGCCTTGTAACTGGCATCCCATGGTACTTTCAAGCAGCGCGTCAGAGACTTTGCATGATTATAGCTGTTTTATCCAACCACATCAAGACTTTATCTTCCAATACCGATCTACAATATGATTTAGTGTAATGAAAGGAGGCAACTCTTTTCTATTCAGTATTTCATTTCACTTATTATAATAGTGCATCTGTCTCCTTCATTGTATTTTTAAAAATTCTAATGCAAACCGCCATTAAACTGCCTTAAAGACCAAAATATATTCTGAGTAACATGGGCATCCATAGCCTCATTTTTACCCAGCATTTCTTACAGATTGCTGATCCCTGCAAAGACTTTCAGTGATATGAGCCTAGTAATTTTTTCATTTTTTTAGTCTCTCCAACAAAGTGGTTCACTTTGTCAAGGAGTAAAGATTCATGACTGAAACTAACTGGCTGTGAATTTTATTTGTATCATCAGTGGGAAAGAGACCAATTAACACTTGGCAAGCTCAAAAATCATATGCCCATTTGACATTCAAAGAACTATATTTAATGTGGCTTTTTTTTCTTTTTTTTTTTTTTTGAAGTCAGAAGACACATCAAACAGCCATGCTCAAGAGCAGGCTAGCAAACTTGTACATAGATTCTTTCCAACACCCTTAGAATCACTAAGATCAGAAAGCTAATAAGTACCTTAATGGGACACATTACAATGGTCAGTTGCTTAAGAGGGGTAGATAAATGAATAAAGAAAGGAATGAAATGTAACCTGGTGAATTAAAAGATTGTAAAATTATTTTAATTTTATGATAAATGCATTCATTACTTAATATTTAAATTTTTTGAAGAATCTAAAAGCATAAAAATAGCGTAGAATGAAATATTGAACTCACGGATTGACTCTTGCCCTTTCTCGTAAATAAAACCAGTCCTTAAGATATCAGGCTATACTGGCAAGGATTTGTGCTTCTTTTGCATCCAAGGCAAACGATTCTGAAAAACTCCAGTGGTAAATGCTCAATGAATGCATGGCTGATCAATTCAATTGATCTTTGTTTTATAAGTATGTGTCTAGCTCCATTGAAGAAGTAGTCAGGTACATTATTTGCAGAATACGAGGCGGTAATTATTTTCTTCCTTCCCATACAAGTCAATAAATTTCTAAAGAACTCTACTAATCTTAAATTATGGTGGTATCACCTGTGATACAAATAATGGCAGAGGCATTTCTGAGGTTATAAATAATATTTAATGTCACCCCTTATTTTGGCTTTAGTCACCACCATAGAATGTTAATCTCATTTCCCCACAGAACTCTAGGTGTAAACACAAGCATCACCATTTTTAACTTTTTGACTTTGGGCAAGGTATTTCAGTGCTCTGTACGTATGTTTTCTGAATTATTAATGGAGATAATAATAATAATAGTATCTCTCCAGGGTGTAGTTTTGGAGTTTAATTGAGATGGTACATGTGAATCACTTAGAACATGCAGAAAGCTCAAGAAACATCAGCCACTTTTCGTACTATTATTATATTATCACCCACTGATCCACAGAAGATGGAATTCAACCTCTTGAATTCAGAATAGTCGCTGAGTGCACTGAACCTGCGCCAGTGCTGTGGGGTATGCAGGGATGAATCTTCTGTCCTATGAAGAACCACCACCAATATGCCCTCCTCTATTCTTTAGCCAGACTTCGGTTAGAGTCCATAAATTCTACAAATGAAGACAGCATTGCAAGCTTTAAATAAGGAAAGGCCCTTATTTATGTAAATATCTCTTTAAAAAAAAAGACTTATTTATTTCAGAGTTGGGGGAGGGGCAGAGAGAGGGAGGGAATCTCAAGCAGACTCCCCGCTGAGCATAGAGCCCCACGTGGGGCTCGATCCCAGGACCCTGAGTTCATGACCTGAGCCAAAACCAAGAGTCAGTCGCTCAACCACCTGAGCCACCCAGACGCCCCATATGTAAATATCCACTTTATAAATGACTTGTTAATGTAAATATCTACAAGTCATGACATGCTGCTGTCGTTTTTCTGATTTTTATTTTTTTTTATTTATTTTTTTTTAAAGATTTTATTTATTTATTTGAGAGAGAATGAGATAGAGAGAGAGAGCACACGAGAGGGGGGAGGGTCAGAGGGAAAAGCAGACTCCCCGCTGAGCAGAGAGCCCGATGTGGGACTCGATCCCGGGACTCCAGGATCATGACCTGAGCCGGAGGCAGTCGCTTAACCAACTGAGCCACCCAGGCGCCCTGTGGTTTTTCTGATTTTCAAAGTTACTGTTGTCCACTTAGTCATCCTGGTCCCAGGACATTGGAGCCTCCTGCGTATTTTATTTCAGAGAGGAAATCTGGGCTGAGGCTACTGGTGGTAGTTCTCCTTTGCAGGGCCAAAGGAAAGAGAATGACAAAGTTTCAGAGGAGGAGGAGGCCAATCCAGATTTCTTGTACACCCATCTCTACAGGTGGTGACCCTTTTGACTAAGAACTCACCTTAATACTTACTGGGTAAAAAAAAAATTGTGCTGCGGGCACTCCAGGATAAACCACCTAGGTTTCAGGGTTCTAGGCTTGATGCTCCCTCCTCTGGTCTCCTTGCCAAGTCCTTCTTTTCTATTTTTTTTTATTTAAAATATTTAACAACTGCACAACTTCCTTAGCACAGGGGCAGAGTCTGAAGACTCTGTGCTGTATCAGGTATAAACCCTTTAGCTGCTGAATCAGAGGGTGGCCCAGGGAGCCATCCAATATTGGGAAGGAGAGGGGGAGCACTCAGTTGCATCACAGCACATACAGAATTATCTCAGAATTTAACACCGGGTATGGAAGAACCAATGTGGCTGGCCCCTATAGACAATGATTTTATCTAGCCCCAACTACTACTTGTGTTGAAATGTATCTGTTGACTCCTCTGCCTGCCTAAACTGTGAAGAAATGAGCAAAAAGAGGGTTTGTTCATGTTTTATCTCTAATACCAGCAGACTGAATCTACCTAGGAGAGTCTCTGACTATATTTAATTAAATGAAGGAAAGAGGGGGGCGGAGCAAGATGGCGGAGGAGTAGGAGACCTGGATTTCGTCTCCTCTCAGGAATTCAGCTGGATAGGGATCAAACCATTCTGA